TAAGCTATTAATCATTTACGAGGCTGCTAAACAAATCAAATCAAATAATATAAATCCATGCTTTAGGTGACAATTTAAAGCCTACGAATAAGTAAGTCTCCACGACGGAAATAAATAAATAAGTATCGACAAATTGATGACAACGATAACTACAGTAATTCATTTTATTTATTTTTATTTTTATTTAACAATGGCAGCAAAGTTTTACTTGGAGGTAAAATGTATTATTGTGTGACTCAGAGGCGCTCCACTTAATGGTCACCCCAGTGGAAGCCAGTGCCGGATTAAGCCAGCGCGGGGCCTGTAGCAAATTTCTATCAAGGGGCCCTTGGTTTGCTTTAGGTTCTCAAGTTTAGGGTATTAAATGAAACAAAACTGTTACAAATGAACTTTTCTTAATTTAATGTGTGCAAATTTAGAGATAACACTTTCAATATCAACTTCTTTAAGCAAATCATGCTCTATATTCAACAAAGTAAGATGATTAAGACGTTCTTGTCCCATCGTGTTCCTTAATTCATCTATCTACAGGGTGGAAACGATAAGTGATCTCACGCGATTATTTCTTAACTATACAAGATTTCGAAAAACTGGTTACTGATCCTGAAAGTGCTTCACGAGCTCTTTCCAATAGTATAATAGGTTACAGAATTAACTGGATCTATCCGAAAATTAAATGTTTTCAGTCTCCATACTAAATGTATGCCAGCCACACAATATTAGAAGTGTTAATTTTTTTAATAAATAATAAACACTTAAATTGAACTCGTAAATTGCATTCTAATTTACAATTTATCATGGAAAATATTGGTTTTAGGCTTTACTTGCTATAATTTATCAGGACATGAGTGCCATGACTGTGGCAGTACTAAATCTATGGAATCTGGAAACATTGAATTTTCGGATAGATCCAGTTTATTTTGTAACTTATTATTGGTACCGTTGGATAGAGCTCGCATAGCACTTTCAGGATCTGTAACCACTTTTTAGATATCTTGTATAGTTTTTAATACTTATGTGGTTTTACTAAATGTATGGAAGCTGGAAACATTGAATTTTCGGATAGATCCAGTTTATTTTGTAACCTATTATTGATACCGTTGGATAGAGCTCGTGAAGCACTTTCAGGATCAGTAACCAATTTTCAGATATCTTGTATAGTTTAGAAATAATCGAGTGAGATCACTTATCGTTTCCACCCTGTATATTCTATACTTATAATAAACTAGCTTTTGCCCGCGGCTTCATCCGCGTGAAATTTAGTGTCACAGATCGGCATAAATTATAGCCTATTGTTATTCTGGGTTACAAACAATAATACTGTAAAGTTTCAACAAAATCTGTTCAGTAGTTTTTGCGTAAAAGAGTAACAAACATCCAGACATCCAAACTTTCGCATTTATAATATTAGTAGGATCTGTAGAGAGGTCAATTATGTACATGAAATATATTTTCAAAATAACTATCAGGGGGTGATTAGTGATCGATACTGATGCCAAAAATGCAATCAGTAAAATTTTTGTCTGTCTGTCTGTATGTTCCTTATACATAGAAACAAAAACTGCTCGACGGATTTTAACGAAACTTGATACAATTATTCTTCATACTCCTGGTATACTTAGGAATTCCCACGGGAACAGGAATTAGCGGGAAAATCTTTTTGTATGAAAAATCTAAACCGCTTAAGTTAGACGCTTGAAATGGCAATGCCAGATTTTGTATGGAAGGTGGCGTCTTTTTTTTTTCGCGCGGCCATCGACCAAACTTTATTTATTGATTACAAAATAGTGTAATAAACCAAACTTATTATTGCATGTATACCTCTAAACTCAGTCTGAACTGAGTTACGAGCATTAGAAGTTTGATGATTTTCATACTAGACTAGCGGCCGCCCGCGACTTCGTACGCGTGGATCCCGTTTTATCCCCTTTAAATTTTTCCTGAATTTTCTTTGCTATAAACCTCACGGAGCCCGAGACCTTTCCAACGAATGCAAAACCGTGGAAATCGGTTCGTGCGTTCTGGAGTTATAGCGTCAGGGAGGAAAACGCGACTTATTTTTATATAGTAGATTTGCTTTTTGCGCGCAAGTTTTGTAAGAAATTGCAACAAAATATTGCGCAATTTTTTTATTGCGCTGATTCTGCTGCATACTGCTGTCTGGAGCCTTTAATGGATGGTATTGTTTGTTTACACATACAATGTCACTATTTTGTTGCAATTTCTTACAAAACTTGCGCGCAAAAAGCAAATCTAGTATGAAAATCATCAAACTTCTAATGCTCGTAACTCACTTCAGACTGAGTTTAGAGGTATACATGTCATAGTAAGTTTGGTTTATTACACTATTTTGTAATCAAAAAACAAGGTTTGGTCGATGGCCGCGCGAAAAAAAAAAGACGCCAATTTCCGGCATTGTCTTTTGGCATGTAGGTTGTTCGCGCTGCTACATCAGCGCCACCACCGGCGACGCTAGCGCCCCCTATCATAATCAAGCATGCTCCATAGAAAGAGGTCTATGGAGCCGAGAGAATTTTGGTCTAGGCGACGACCGCCAACCGAAGCGTCGCTTTCACTTTTTTACCGCCAACAAGAAAGGCTTTATTTTTCTGTAATGTACCTATAATATTGTTTTAAACCAAAGTAAAACCCAATGTTCACCGAAGAATGGCTTATTATTGAAAAGGCCCCTATTTCCAAGAAACTACAAACTACAAACCTTAAGCTCCAACATAGGTACCTTAGTAAACTTTAAGCTTAGTTACAATAAGGAATTTCCGAAATTCCCACGGGTACGGGAATTGCAGGAAAATCCTTTTGTATGAAAAATCTAAACCGCTTAAGTTAGACGCTTGAAATATGGTATGTAGCTACCTTAGTAAACTTAAAGCTTAGTTACAACAAGGAATTCCCGAAATTTCCACGGAAACGAGAATTAGCGGGAAAATCCTTTTGTATAAAAAATCTAAACCGCTTAAGTTAGACGCTTGAAATTTGGCATGCAGGTACCTTAGGAAACTTAAAGCTTAGTTACAACAGGATATTGCAAAATTCCCACGGGAACGGGAGTTATCGGGAAAAAATCTAAACCGCGTAGATGAAAAAATCTAAACCGCATAGATGAAGGGGGTAAAACGGGATCCACGCGTACGAAGTCGCGGGCGGCCGCTAGTTTTTAATACGTTTTAATGTTGAAAAATAACGTTCGCCACTGTAGTAGCGAAGCACTAGTCGCTTGCATGCTTTCCATGTAATTGTCATTATTCCCGTTTCTAACTTATTCATCGTTGAAACTATCTAACTTAATCTTTTTTTATTTCGGTCAGACAGGCGTTGGAGCGCGGGGCCCCCAAATTCACGGGGCCCGTAGCATTTGCTACTCTTGCTACGTAGCTAATCCGGCACTGGTGGAAGCAGCTTTACGGTTATGCAAGCCTTTATCACTCATTTTTATGCACCCACTTTATGGAATGCGCAATACTTCTGCGGTGCTTTTTGGGTTATGACCCGATGGCGCAGTGGCGCAGTGAACCGATGCGCGTGAATTATCACGGGATCATATCTCATATAGCTAATCCATTAAGATTTTCCAAATAAATTGATTCTGTCTATTTATTCTTTTGGTTCTGTCTAAGCCAATTTGGTGAATCGGAAACGGAGATCCGTAAAAAAACTAAAGTTGCTGACATAGCCCGACGGATTAGCAAGCTGAAGTGGCAATGGGCAGGCAGGGCACATAGCACGCAGATTTAACGGCCGATGGGGCAGCAAGGTTCCGGAGTGGAGGCCGCGTACCGGAAAACGCAGCGTGGGACGCACGTAGTGGACCACCCACAAGGTGGACCGACGACATCATAAAGGTAGCAGGAAAGCGCTGGACGCAGGCCGCTACCAACCGGGCAACATGGAAAGCATTGGGGGAGACCTATGTTCAGCAGTGGACGTCCTATGGCTGAGATGATGATGATGATGAATTTGATAAAGGTTGCGGGAAGTAGGTACCTGGCTGCGGGCAATGCAGGGCCAGTCGTTATGGAAATCCTTGTCGAAGGCCAAACCCAGCAGTGGACATCATTTGTCTGAAACGTTCGAACGACTTAGCTAGCATTAGAGAGTTTGTTTCAAAATCAACATCACAAAATATTGTGTCGACATTTAGATACTTTACTGTTTTAATCTTCCATGATCAGCGTTTTAAATGTTCTACAAACGTCCTTGATATTCTCAGCTATTATTTAGTTAGTGCTGAGTCACTTCTCAAACCACAGAGTATAGACAGAGGTCACCCTGTGTTGCTAGGGCTGTCACTCGCCTGTTTACTTTCACGATGTTAGTTTACAGTCCGCTATGGCCTGACTTAGGGCTTCTTGCGTACGGCCACTAGACACGGGGGTGTTTGGTGGCCGCTAAAGGAGGACCCGTGGCGGCGGCGCGCGTATGTGTTCACGCGCACCGTTAGCGAAGACCAGGGGAAGTACTACTCCCCTGAAGCCAGTCGTCGCTTGCTCAAACAGAGCGAGCCACAGTCTGGGGCGGAGCCGCGAAAGAATGTCTGGGCCGTCTAGCTCGGACAATAACTCGCAGCACCGTCCCAAAGACTTCGGGAGGACACCGTCAGGTTTTAGTGAGTAGGCCCTGCCCATCTGGCAGGGAGAGCCTCACATAACGCACTGGTTCCCCCGGGCCAGTGGGTATGCAATTTCATGCATTTCCTGACGAAAAAAAAGGGGCTTCTTGCGTAGTAGTCCAAGGGTTGTCCACAAGGCAAACAAATTAACTACTTAACGCACAAAGATAATATGGTTAGATGATTTGTGACAGAACCCGTTAGCTTTTTGTTTCTTAATTTGTATTTAGGTAATTATGCCGGTATTCCTAATTAAACTTCAAGTAAACTCAGCACTTTCCGAAATTGTTTGTCTCGAAGCGCTAGTAGGAAAAAATAATGATAACAATTTAATTTGTAATACAAAAATCTTTATTTCTTTTATACTAAAAAAATCTAATCTTGCTGGACTCAGGCATGCCATTTAGCGTATCACATGACAGTTGGTGGCACGTCCAGGGAACTGATATGCAAGTGTACCAGTTTCAGTTACTGACTTGACCTTAAGTTACGAATGACGTCCATTAGTTTGACTTCTATCTGGAGGTGATTCTAAGGTAATTCGCTGACAATAGACGATGTAAATTGTACAGAATTTACATAAACACACAGGCATTGTAAACAGTGGAGTGTTTAAAAAGACATTAATCTTTGAAATCTATTTGTCATGCCTTCATCATGGCGAAACATGGTGCATCACCAGTCTGATTCTTATTATGTCAGTTCTTATTTTACTTTCTGGTTGAGAAGGCATAGGTACTACTCCATTAACGAATTCCTCCTGGACAAATTAAAAATGTGATCATAAAATGTTTGCATGTAAAATTATAAAATGAACAGGTTAGTATTAAGTAACCATTTATATATTGCACGCCATCTGCTTGGCAAATTGTAGCTGAACAATTCACGTTTAAATTTAAGACCCATCAATGTATTATATGTACCTACAATTGCAATAAACTAATTTGATTTGATTTGGTTTGATATTAAGTCTCGAAGCACTTTTTTTTTCAACAAAAACTTCACCTAAATGTCTGAAAGCCAAGCTTCTTCGTGGAGGGTAAAAAATATAATTATGAAAAAATGTGCTTCACTTTGGATCTCATCGTCACGTTTTGTGAAGTGAGATTGTCCAAAATGAGTCGCAATTCCAAGAAAATAAAAACGTTCAGACTAATAACTACTTCACTAATAAATAGAAAAAAAAATAATTAGCTTATCTTAATAATATTTAATATTACGATTGCTTAATCCTTAGACAATGCAACGCGGTAAATATTCCCGATACAAATCTTCCCAGAACTCCACATCTTCCTGCTCCGGGTGGGATTTGGTAGCCAGAGTGTTCCCAATATCCAGGTATTCCTGACCTTCGGTAGTGAATGGAGTCCATTTCACGCCGAGAGAGTCATCTGGTGTGGGGTGCCTACAAAATAATTTTATATTATTATTGAGAGCAATTCAGTGAAAAACCTCTCCTTGATAAAAATCGGGTCTCAGAGGCAAAATTTGAAATTATAAAATGACTTAGTATTTATGAGACCACCCATAAGGTGGACCGATGAAATCATAAAGGTAGCAGGAAGGCGCTGGACGCAGGTCGCTACTTATCGATCAACATGGAATTCATTGGGGGAGGCCTATGTTCGTTCAGCAGTGGATGTCCTATAGCTGAAATGATGATGATGATGATCAGCATTTATGTTTGCTTCATAAATTCAACCTGAGTGTCTGAATGAAAATTGAAAGTCAACATTACCTATTGGTAGGTGTAATTAATTACGAAAGTCAAGATAACGACTGAAACATTAATTAAATAATATTCCAAGTACATGTTAATCTGTCTCCATTTATGAATATGCATGTATGAATAAGCAACAGGTTTAGAGCTCGTAGGTACATGACAATGTCTTAATGTCTTAAAAGCTTAAATATATTCCTAAAACATTTTGCGACGCAGATTAGTTAGTGACTGGTAAATCAACAGAAGTAATGTAATTTGTCTCGTAAATTCCATTCTATATTTTTTAAAGTTTAGGTAAACTTACCCATATTTTGCGAAGTTTGTCCACAACTTTGTGACGTTGTCAATTAATTTGAAACTTTCAGGGCTTATATTTATTTTCTGATTGGTTATTTTAACCGGGAACAAGTAAGGCAAGTCGTCCGTGTGACAAACTAAAGATTTGTTATCTTTGAAGATTTCTACCGCCCGTAATACATTCATTAACTGGTTGCGTTCAGATTTGCAAGTGAACTTGTACAAATAAGTGTTAGTTCTCTTCGCACAAAACTTGGCCCAACATATTATTTCAAATATAAAAAAGTCGATGTTCAAAAATCGCAGAAGCTCTTCAATGGTGTCCATTGAAGCAAATTTGTTTTTCATGTAAAACTGTTTCACTTTTCTCGCCAAAACTAACTGGTCTTTCAATGGACATTCAATCATCATGCGTTTAGGAACGTAACTTTCCACATAGTCATTTATAAATTTGAAGAAATTATTAACATCACCACACAAGTTGAAAATAAACGCCAATACTCCTTCATGTTCAGTGTATCCCACAATAACTTCAACGTCTTTATTTATATTGTTTTGCAAAGCGTCAAAGATGTCTCCGTAGAAAAATCTTTCATTTTCACCAAATTTTTTCTCATCTACAACACCCAGAAATGTTTGGCACGGCTTCTTGGATAGCGTTGCAGATTCGCTTACGTTAACAAACGCTTCCGGTGGCTGGTTTTTGAAGAACTCGTATAACTCCTTATCATCTTCAGAGAGGCATCCCAATTTGCGAGCTATAGTCAGGCCAGTTTCACGGGGCGCAAAAGCTGAGGCCCAGTAATTAACAGGAGACCCGCTCTGGATGATAGCTCTTTTAAAAAGTCCTTTGGACATAGGTGATAGGAGTTGGAACCCAACACTAGTCGCCCCGCAACTTTCTCCGAAAATAGTGACGTTAGTTGGATCTCCTCCAAAACGACTGATGTTTTTCTGTACCCATTTGAGGGCAAGAACCTGGTCTTTCATTGCGGCGTTTCCAGGGATGTCTTCTGTGTCCAAACAGAGGAATCCAAGAACGCCTAATCTGTAGTTGAAAGTTACTAAAATTACGTCATGCCTTATGAGGAATTCTGGGCCGTACATGTTGTCATTGCCGCTGCCCCACATGTACCCCCCACCATGGATCCAGACCATCACTGGGAGAGGGGAGCTGGGCTTTACACTTGGGGTGTAGACGTTGATGTACAAACAATCCTCGCTTCCTATTATAGACTTTGCTTCTAAGATATCAAACTGATGGCTAACGGGCCCAAATGCTTTGGCTTGTCGCACCCCTTTCCATGGTTTCGCCGGTTTGGGTGGCTGAAATTAAAATTATTCTTTATCAGTCACTAGTCCTTTCAATATAATATTCAAGGTTTTGTAGTATACCACTTCTATAATTATTTAATACACACATACAATATCTAGTAGGTTTTCATTTTCGTCTTCAACTAAACAGATTTTCATTTAAAGCCAAAACTGTTACTGTAACATACTGTAACATAATAATACGATTTTTTGCCCAAAATTAATACATTAAATGGTATTGACATAAAATACAGTTATGTTGATGACAAAATAATGTGCAAATACTAACAACTAATTTTTGCATTATTTTTTAACATTAACATTCAAAATATTTTTTAAACAGATTCGTTTAAAAATGTTTGTTTTAAACTGTCTGGCATAATCGTCTGGTGGTCAAGGTAACACTGGCCTTGACTTTGTTTGTCTGTACGCAATGTTTATACACATTTGAGAGAGGACACGGTATATTATACTGTATCTAATACTTTGACTGTTAGTCAGGTACGAATTAAACCATAAATTAAAAGGTTCGCAGCAGTTCCTTAGCAGCTAATAACCTAACGGGACTATTCCTGCTTCTTGTTCCCACCACTGCAACTACTGTGCAGCCAGCTAGACCGCCAATAAAAGTACTTTGTAAAAGCCTATTTGCAAAAATAAAATGAGGTTTATGAGTTTTTTAAGCATAGGAGGAGTTCAAAGTTTAAAATCGATTAACAGCCGAAAGCGATTAAACCTACTAAGTCTTTTGCATGAGAAATCAATAAATGTGGTACTATTACTTATTCTGTGGTAATACAAAACTATTTTGGAGTTATTGGAACAACTGTCATAAAAACCATACCCAAAAACTAGTAAATAATTAGTAACTGTATTACGTAGTAGATATGACGTAGTATCGCGTCGTGCGGCTCACCATTAGCTGGCAAAATTGATACTTACCGCCCTCCTATAATATTAATTGTAAACAACACGCAGTCTTGATTATAAGTGTACTATCAACTTAATATTATTCTGTGGTACCATAACATTTAAAATCTACTGCGATGAATGTGCAACAATGTCACAACAAACATTTTTATGTTTAGTGACATAAGAAATGTATAGATTACTAGCGGCCGCCCGCGACTTCGTACGCGTGGATCCCGTTTAACCCCCTTAGTGATTGAATTTTGCAAAATCCCGTCTTAGTGTGCACCTACGTTCTAAAAGGAACCCCCATGAAAAATTTGAGACTCCTAGCACTTGTAGTTTCTGAGATTTCGTAATGGGTGAGTCAGTCAATCAGTTTTTGCCTTTCGCTTTTGTAGATATAGATTTTAAACTACACGCAGTCTTCATTATAAGTGTACTATTAAATTTAAAATCTACTGCGATGAATGTGCAATGTCACAACAAACATTTTTATGTTTAGTGACATAAGAAATGTATAGTTATAAGCATAATTTTGTAATTAACTTATAAAACAAATTATACTGACCTTGAACCTTAAGTCACCAATAGGAGGTTCCGCATACGGTATTCCTCTAAAACTGCAGAACCTCCCGCCATACTCATTCGCCACCAGCTCTCCTTCGAGGATACCATCTTCAATAGACACTTGAACCGCCATATTTCTTGACGAACAAAACGGAAACGTCTCCGAAACGTCTAACCAAATGAATTGAATCAAAGCAAATGGTGATTTCAGAAGTGATTTTGCACTGTATGTATTGTAAGCATTAGTCGGCAAATTTCGCCACAGTGGAATCATAAGCAGTGCTACCTCTACAAAGTACTTCGAACATTCTCTTATTCCACAGCAAAGATTTAGCATAAAAAGACTAACCCTGGGTCGCACCATCTTACTTTAAATACAGGGTGTTGATTTCAATCCTCGCCATATTTAGGGAGTTGATTATGTAGCTTATTCTGGTCACGAATCAGTAAAATTTTACTTCGAAAAAAATTTAAATGAACTTTAACTTTAGTAAGTCAAAGAAAAATACCTATTCACTACCTTCTTTACGTGGCTTCCTTCATTAGGCTATCCGACACGATAAGCGAGCGATCGGCGTAGCTCAATGGGCACAATACAGTCATGTCGCACGGAAAATATTTGCTAAAAATGCCACTTTCGTGTGTAATTTATTTGTTGGTGGATAATGCGTTTATATAAGTCATAATACATAATCTAAATAAATATGGCGATGATTGAAATCAACACTCTGTGTAACAAACTTCATGTGTCAAACTCCATACAAAAATGCCGGTTAAAGTTATAGTTACGGTTAGAATTAAGGTAATGAAACTCAACCCAAGAAAACTTATTATAAATGTAATAAAAGTGCCTCAAAGCTACTGAATATGAAATTTATTTTCCATGATTAATTTGCCTTTATGGAAAACTACTGGCGTAAGATTGAATTAAATTATAGATATAATTTTGAATACCTAAGATTAGATTGTATTGTATATATTACTTATCTTTAGAACGATAGGGCTCGATCGAGATACAGTGTACTTATTAGAGTAATGTAGGTGGCACATCAAGCTGTACAGTTTTGTAGAAAAATCACCTCTATTAAAACTACATAAGGTGCGCCAGTGTTAATCTTGACGTGCAGTCGCCTGTAAATAAGTAGGGAAGTGTAAAAATCTCCGATGTCCATTTGTTGTTAGACGATATTTATTTCAAACGTTTTTAAAATCTAAATTGAAGGATGTTGCTTAAACTTGTTTAGGTGCTTATAATCATTTAGATTAGATTCAAGGTCAACCAAGTAAATAAACAACTCGTATACCTACTTATGTTTGTCTATACTAATATTATAAAGCTGAAGAGTTTGTTTGTTTACTTGAACGCGCTAATCTCCGGAACTACTGGTCCGATTTGAAAAATTCTTTCAGTGTTAGATAGCCCATTTATCGAGGAAGGCTATAGGCTATACAACATCACACTACGATCAATAGGAGCAGAGTAATAATGAAAAATGTTGAGAAAACGGGTTTTCATGCGTACGAAGTCGCGGGCACAGCTAGTTTGTTGATAAGTACTTACTAATCTGTTACAAGTAAATACCTTTAAGTAAGCTGAAATGCTCTTCCATCAAGGTTTAATCAAATATCATCCATGATCAATTATTTTATTTGGAGTGTTCAGCGAGTTTGTAATAATGTATCACTTATGACTATGGCCTGTTAACCTCTTCACCGACTCACGTTTCCCATATTTAGGTCAATTCTTACAGGAGAGTGTTGCGACATTATCAGTCATAGAACATACCAGTACAATTCCAGGAAATCAAAAGGAGCACGTTGTCTAGAAGATTTTAAAATCATGTTGATTTTGTAGCTATAAGGTAAATATCATATAATATTATTTATTTTATTCGGATTGATTTACATAAGGGCCTGTACAGTGTACATTAAAACATCAAAGAGATTCACACAGCTACCTGGCAGGTACATTATTGAAAAAACATTCCATTATTTCTCGTAAGTAGGTATACGCAATTGAGAATGTTACTAGGTATGCAAAATCACTTGAAACCTATGTTACAGTAAAGCTTTTACATATACAAATACATTTGTTTTTATTTCATTTAATAATACCAAGTAGTTATGATTTTATAGGCATTCAAAGTTCGCTTAAATATAGAGTCCCGCCGACGGTCACGTGACCCCGCGTGACGTACATTCACAGTGTCCGCTCACTAGACAACGGATTTAAACATACTTAAATAAATTTTTTTTGTAAATACATACATATTATACTAACACCCAGACCCATCACAGAAATTAAAATTGAACCAAACCCAAACTTGATGCGATTGTGTCGTTTTATTGCGAATTACCTTCCAGCTCCATCATCAGACCCTGATTACTATATAGAATTGAAGTACTCATCAATACAAAACGAACGAGCCCAAACTCGATGGATTTAAGTCGTTTTATTATAGAGTTCCTATGGCCACCTTCCAGCTCCATCATCAGATCAGCTCCATGTCATCATAATATTGCATGGTCAATAATGGTCATCCAAATCACATGTGTATGCGAAATTTCAGCTTAATCGGTTGCCCGGAAGTGGGTCTTAATTCAGCTTGCAAGATTCCACCCATACAAATATGAGCCAGTCACTGTACTATGACGTCACGCGCATAAAATGGCGGGCCAGCCGCCGCCCGCACTTTTAAAATTCAATATCTTAGAAACTAATTGTAGTCCAGTCAATGAATGCTTTAACGACGGTGTAGAGAGAAATCCGTGGAACACAATTTCTGACCTCGGGACTTTATAGGAGGTGAACATAGCAAAAGTCCCCGCCCTTAGCCCTTGAGCCGGCGGGGAGAGGGGGGTTTAAAGGTACTACTTTTCGGTTTTTCGCTTAATTCTCGGAAACTATGCGTCCTAGTGACATGACTACTATGAAACAAAAAAAGCTTATTCAATTTGCTACAGGTGAGACAGTCAAGTTTTTCTATATCTTTTATAGTTTTCACGGCATAGGCTCTAGAAGGTCTGTAATATTGGATATTTTATTTTTGTTTTACATGTTCCCATCAGGAGAAAATCGAATAAATCAACATTAAGCAAACATTTTAGACATGCGGGAGCATGTTAAGCCTAGTTCCAGGGAAGGGACTGCACCGTGCGTATATTTAGACGACCCAATTGGAGCCACTTTTGACTCCTCATCACTCAAAAACTACTGTGCGTTAACACTTCAAATTTGGCTCATGTATTGAGACTTGCAAGATAAAAATCAGCTTCAAATTTCATAAATATACCTCAAACGGTTATTTAGATATTGACGTTCAAAAATCGACATTTAGAACACTAAAATCTATCTATCACCTGTGAAATGTTAAAATTTACTGTTCTTTTATTTGTTCCTTTGTATTTACACATCTACCTATCTGGATGCCAAATTTGAACCTTCAAGGTCATCTGGAAGTTGTTAGAATTTGGTATATAGGTCAGATATGTAGATTTTTGGACGTCAATACCTAAAGAACCGTTTGAGGTATATTTATGAAATTTGAAGTTTATGTTTATCTTGCAAATCTCAACACATGAGCCAAATTTGAAGTGTTAATGCACAGTAGTTTTTGAGTGATGAGGAGTCTAAAGTGGCTCCAATTGATTCGTCTAAATATACGCACGGTGCAGTCCCCTCCCTGGAACTAGGCTTAACATGCTTCCACATGTCTAAAATATTTGCTCAATGTTGATTTAGTCGATTTTCTCCTGATGGGAACATGTAAGACAAAAATAAAATTTCCAATATTACAGACCTTCTAGAGCAGACTCCGCAAAAACTATATAAGATATAGAAAAACTTGACTATCTCACCTGTAGCAAATTGAATAAGCTTTTTTTGTTTCATAGTAGTCATGTCACTAGGACGCATAGTTTCCGAGGATTAAGCGAAAAACCGAAAAGTGGTACCTTTAAACCCCCCTCACCCCGCCGGCTCAAGGGCTAAGGGCGGGGACTTTTGCTATGTTCACCTCCTAACTAGTCTAAATAAAGTCCCGAAGTCAGAAATTGTGTTCCACGGATTTCCATCTATAATGCTTTATTGACTGGACTATTGATGTATCGAAATAATTCATTCACGTGTATTTTTCATTTTTAACAGGAAATACAGAAAGCTAAAAAACAAAATTAGTGAACATTCTTCATTAAGAAGGCGTTAATTACTGTAATTGCAGAGCTCCGCAAGGTGCATCCATTTCTGTGTACGCGACAGCGTTGCATTTTTGTTTGGAAAGAGGTTTTAACATGATCTGTGGACATCATCTAATCTACACCTTTTAAAAGGGGTACGATACTACGATATTTCCAGACTTTATTAGATTTTTTTTTAACACTCCTAATATTTTATGTGCGGCTGGCACACAATTTTATATGAAAGCTTGAAACATTATATTTTCGAATATTGATCTAGTTTATTCTGTAATCTATTATTGATAACGTTGGATAGAGCTCATGAAGCACTTTCAGAATCAGTAACCATCTTTGGATAAATTGTATAGTTTAGAAATAATCGAGTGAGATCACTTATCGTTTCCACACAGTTATTTTATTTATTAAAACACAAAAAAAGATGTTTCAAAGTGTATATTTCATGTGACAATATAAATTAATAAAAGTTAGTAAAAAAAATCCTTATTAAGGTTCGGCCAAACCAACGCGATCACATGCGATCAGCCGGCGTGCAGTGATGGCGATCAATGCATTAATGCAATGCGATCGCGTTAATTTGGCCGAACCTTAAGTCTGGTCGCCATCACTGCACGCCGCGCCGCGGCGGCTGATCGCGTGTGATCGCGTTGGTTTGGCCGAACCTTAACTATTTCTATATTCTATACTATCTATAAAAAAAGTGGAAAATTGTTACAAATTAAAACAACGATATAACAAAAGCATAGATGCGAGCGTGCTAAGCGTAATCTTTTCATTGTGGTGAAATTGTAATCTTTTGGCAACTTCCATAAATAGAAAAGTAAAAAAGATATGCTTAAAAAAATAGTGCGTCTTGAAGTTCACTCTTTCTACAAATAATAATAATAATAAAATAAGATTAAGGTCGCGGAAAGCACTGGATACGGGAAGTGCAGGGCTGGTCATCGTAGAAACCCTTGGGGAGGCCTATATCCAGCAGTGGACGACGGCTGAAATGAAGAAGTAAATCCCCGTTAAGGTAATTCGACACCACCTTCCTCGTATATGCCAGTCCAGAATTCGTTGACGTCAGCATCAGGAGCTCTGTCAACGCGCAGCGTGGAGTTGATGATCAGGTAGCCCTTGGAATCGTTGTCGTACTCGGGCCAGTCCACGCCGAGAGAAACGTCAGGAGTCGGAGTTGGATCCCTAAAAGTGGAAGATTTTTAATTTTATAGTCTTTCCTCCGGAAAATGCTTCAGTTTTCTTGAATTCAATATATCATTAAGAAAAAGTGTGAGTAATCAAACACGAAATCTATAGAAATTCTTGTGACCCTTAATAATATAAATGTAATTCTAATCGTGGACAAATAGATTATTATTAAATGTGTGCTGATATAAAACAGTAATCGAATATTATTTTTCGTAAACTAAAATATTGTGCTAATAAAAAATTAAGAACATACCCATATTTAACAAAATTTGTGAACAACGTAACTGTTTGATTAACGAGTCTGAAGATCTCTGGTGATAGGGCTACTGGTCTACCAAGGGTAACAATAGATTCAAATAAATACAACAAATCATCTGAATGCGCCAATCCAAAAATTCCCAACGGCACCCCTTGTGAAGAAAACCGGTTCCTTTCTGACAAAGTGTAGAATTTGTAAAGATACCTCTTATTTCCACCAGGCAGATGTTTTAAAAACCTATTGACGTTATAAACAAATATTTCATCGCTTTGATACTTAAGATACTCTTTTAATGTTACAATATTTATGGCTCTGTTTCCAAAATATTGTTCAGATATTTTAGCGGCTAATGCGTTCGGGTCAACATTGTTTTTTCCATACAGCAAAATTTCACGAGGAACTAATAATTGGCGCATATTGTTGTATTTTTCGAGTGAATTGTTGATTTTTGTCAATAAGAATAGGTATTCCAAACTAGTGTACCCAATCAGCAAGTCTACTGCAGCGACGTTCCCTCTTTTAAGCGACTCATTTGGAGGTTCGACCAAAAATCGTTCTTGCCCTAAGTCTTCTTCTGGAGCAGGTTGGAACGCCGTCATTTTCAATTGAATATATTGCCATTCTTCTTCTTCTGGTATTACGATAGGCACCTTATTGACAAGACTATAAGCTGGCTGTTCTTGCAGGAATTTTAACATTTCGTCAGGATCAGTTGTGTTGCTGCCTAATAAGTTACCGAGAGCGAATGACCGTTTTGTTAATTCATACGAGATTGCAAATTCGCAAAATGGTACGCCGCTCAGGGCTATGGCTCTCTTGAACAATCCTTTGGACATCGGTGACATCATGTGATACGTCACTGACGCTGACCCTGCACTCTGTCCAATAAGAGTCACCTCGTTAGGGTCGCCGCCGAATTTGTGGATGTTATCGTGAACCCATTTCAACGCCAAGTTCTGGTCTTTCAATCCAGCATTGCCTGGAACATCCTTCGTATCTAGCTTGAGAAATCCCAAAGCATCCAGCCTGTAGTTGGTTGTAACTAAAATAACTTTTTTATCCATTATAAAATCTGGGCCGTATATAAGTGAGTTTCCTGATCCAGTCATAAATGCACCTCCATGAATGTAAAACATCACTGGCAGAGGTTTCTCTGGCGTGAGGTCAGGTGTGTAGACATTTAAAAACAGACAGTCCTCGCTGCCTGGTAAATAGGTTCCGAATATTAGTCTGTCAAATTGGACGCACCTAGGGCCGTGTACAAGTGCTTCTCTTAGCCCTGTCCATGGCTTGTGAGGTATAGGGTCCTGAAATTCGACATATAAGAAAATAACAAAAATATCCTCTACATAATGTAATATGTAATATTATAGACTAATAATTTTAGACAAAATGTTAAGTATCGCTCTTAACAATAACTTATTACTTTTTGCCCTAAAAGCTTTTCGAGATTACTAGGTACCTTAAATCTGAGATTTCCAACTGGCGGCTCCGCATAAGGAATCCCTTTAAAACTGTAGTACTCCCCTCGACCAGTGGACGTGGGTCTGCGAACTCCCAGTAATAGCCCTTCGTTTACCTGGACGACGGTCGATTCGACATAAATAATCTGGGAAGAGAAATTGTTGTTTTTTAAAAAGGTGGACATTTCAAGTGAATATCTTAATTGATCACCAATCACCGCAAAGGTAATATTAATTCTGAAATTTCTTTGTGTATCTCTTAAAAGGGTTTCCGGTTTACCGGACTATTCCCACTTTCCCACCGCTGCAACTCCTGTGTAGCCAGATCTACAGCTTGACCGCCAATAAAAACCCAACCAATGAAGGTCAAGTTTCTCCCAGAGGAAAGTTAAACTGTCATTGGACCCGCAACGAAATGAATCAGAAGAACACGCGGAGTGCGGGAATTTTGATCCGAAGAATCCGAGCGTCATTATTGTTGTGTGCGTGCACTCATGGATGATTTTGCGTGCACCGATAACAGTCAACCATTAGTGGAAGAATGGGGGGCGCGTCTTCGTGGATGGAACAATTATAAAAAGAAAAGAAATATAACAAGTCATGAACAGAGATGCTCTGGTTTTGGTGTGCCCCAGGGAAGTATCCTAGGCCCTACCCTGTTCCTGATCTACATTAATGACTTGTGCAACCTCAACATAGGTCATGGTAAACTTATATCATACGCCGACGACACAGCGCTATTATTCACAGCCAAAAGTAGCGCGGAGCTTTATGAGACTGCACAGCTAGGTTTTAACATTGTAACAAACTGGCTTCACTGCAATTTACTAACACTAAACGCTGACAAGACTAAATTCATACACTTTTCCATGCGCAGCCGACACGAAAATTCAAAAAATGCTTACCTTTCTGCACACCAATGTCAAACCTCCCTGACTCCGACTATTTAGGTCTTTTTTAAGTACTTACCGTTGATAAAATATTGAGCGATATCCATGTTAACGTAGCCATGGTGACGGATGCACAATAGCCTTTGCCAATTCACTATTGTATTTATAGTGTATTATCTAGGTCTCTGTGATGCACAAGTATCATAGTTACTTAAATGCAGATGCCATTGTCAATAATAACACCAATTGAAGAGTTTAAGTGACTGATTCACGCTACTTATAAATTAAGCCGTCGATCACACCTAAAACGTATCGTTGGAATCCCTACTTATCATAAATTAAAACTTTGAAGAAACTGCATAAGAAATTGATGATTGATAGAATAGATGCTTATACAGGATGGTTAGACTTGAATATTGTACAATTTTGACGATCATCATCATCATTTCAGCCACAGGACGTCGTACACTGCTAAACATAGGCCTCCTCCAATGACTTTCATATCGCACGGTTGGTAGCGGCCTGCATCCAGCGCCTTCCTGCTAGCATGTGGGTGGACGTTCCACGTTGCGTTTTCCAGTACTTGACCTCCACTCTAGAATCTTGCTGCCCCACCGGCCGTAAATTTTCACAAAATTTTCTAAAATATGCATTTTGTAAATACTCCCTTTATGATAAATCTGAAATCTTGCTTAATTTATAATCAAGTCTACCATCAGCAGTTTATTCCTAATCGGCTAAGGACTGCGATATTGCAATCACAATAGTTCAATGGCAAATGAATATAGGTAGGCGATGTTGTGAAGAGTTTTGACTTTAAAGTTTTATGTTCGCTCGTGCATGCATAAGTCATGCCCTTTTGTTCTTAAAAATCAATAGGCACATTATAGAGGATGCCTTGACCATACTTGAAAGTGAAAGTCACAAAATGAAGTCCATAATATTATCCTAAATTAAACATAATCGTAACATACATGGGGTTGATTTGGATAATTGTTACAGTCAAGACTCAATCGATCAAAATCACTTTTGACTGCAAAAATCAGTCAAAATCACTTTTGACCGAGGGCGTTAGTCAAAATTACTTTTGAATTAGACCTTGACCTTGAAATATCACTAGCGTGGTGAAAAGAAACCGCGCACTGTTTTTCGCGTGTTCAGTAATTACGCCCTGTGTCCTATTACCTCTCATCTACATTTAGTTGCTTGTCTCGCTATGATTTGCATCGTAATTTTGTATAATGAAGTTTCAATTATTAATAATTACTAGGGCAATCGTACAAAATTGAGGAATCGGCCAAATAGTGCGACATTGCTGCCCTGAGCGGGCGGTGGGATGCTGCCAGAGCGCGCGATCACGGGCGAGTAACCCTGTTACTCGTTGGAAAAAGAATTCCCGTCCAGTCACACCGTTACTTGATCTCTTTAAAATATATTGTCCGCAACAGATACTGTCAAATTCTATAGAAAAAAACGGCCCGACACTTCTCCGCGGTGCTCCGCTCCGCCTTGGTGGAAACCCGGCCTTACTGCCATAATTATGTTTGTCTCGAAGTGCTGGTAGGGCCCAAATGATAAGGAGACATGTAAAGTGCCCCATAAGGGCTACCTTTTTTTTATATATTTGACGTTTATAAGTGCCACTTGTGGTCTAAACTGAATAAATATTTTTGATTTTGATTTTTTGATTTTTTTGACTGCATCTCGCAAAACTGGAATAATGTACTTAAATAATACCTTCAAGTAAACTGAAAATATGGCCTCCCATCAAATATTTTATTTAGAGTATTTAACGAGTTTTTAATAATAATTTTATTTTTGTTACAGGTATGTGATAACCTACAGCTAGACAGTGAACCCAATAAGTAAGTCTCCAATTTAACACTACTAGACAATCATTAAAGTTTAAGGCTGGGTTGCACCATCTTAATTTAACTTTGACAAACGTCAAAAATCTGTCAAACTCCATACAAAATACACCGGTTATCGTTAATGTTACGGTCAAAGTTAGGTGGTACAACTCAGCCTAAGAATTTAACGATTAATTACCATCTCCCTATAAGCTAACGACAACCAAGTCATTCTACAACCCAATGATTTATGATCACTTATGACTAAGGCTTGTTAACTTCTACACCGGCTTACGTTTCCCATAATTATTTAGGTCAGTTGGACTGTTTCAAGAACCCAGGGTATTAATAGGGGAGACCAAGGTGAGTTGTACTAAAGAGAGTTGTGACATTGTCGATTTTTGGAAAGATCAGCGAGCTCGCAACAGCGCGTAGGTATTTGTTAGCTTGAGACTTCTAAAAATAGCGCACTCTCGGGCTCACTAGTTTAATAAGTTCCAAAAAACGAAAATTTCACAACACTCCTCTGTTACAAATCACCTCGGTCTCCCCTAATTGGACCATTACATCGCTGTACCGAAAACCGATCCTTTACAAACAGATCGCATTCGTGAGCGATTGTTGATTTTCTTACACCTGTTTTGTGGAGGAATGTGGCTCAACAATGCTTGACTTTTGCTGATGGACAGATGACCTAGTAAAGTCACGATAGATGCAAAAGAAAAGAGTATAACTATTGATTAATTAATATTAGTTTAATGTCTGTGTAACAAAGTTCGATTCAAATTATAAAAAGCTTGACAAGATTTTATTATTACAAATGTTATAAAATATTGTTGATAATTTTACACTATGTAACTACTCGTAGACTAAATCTATATTATTCAAAACTATCAGATTCTATCAATCGAGTAGTCATTATTTTGAAAGATTTATTGTAGGTAGGTACAATTTTCCTGCCCCAGCGGCCATCAGCTCTTCGAGCTATGTGCCCCGCCCACTGCCACTTGATTTTAGCGATTCTGCGGGCTATGTCAGTCACTCTGGTTCTCCTACGGATCTCCTCATTTCTGATTCGATCACGCAGGGAAACTCCGAGCATAGCACGCTCCATCGCTCTTTGGGTGACCTTGAGTGGCAGGAAAGTTCTTGAGTGGCGACCACGAGCTGGAAGACGTAGCGTGGGCAGGCCTCCCACTAGGTGGACCGACGATCTGGTGAAGGTCGCGGGAAGTACCTGGATGCAAGCAGCGCAGAACCGGTCTTTGTGGAAATCCTTGGGGGAGGCCTTTGTCCAGCAGTGGACGTCTTTCGGCTGAAACGAACGAACGAACGAGGTACAATTTATAGAAAAAATAAATAAATGAAGAGGTTACGCAATATTATCTGTAGTTTTTTAATAATGATAGGAGGTCCAATTTATTACATCGACATAACTAAAACGTTTTGAAATATCCCATTATATTATAGAAATTGTAAACCAGCGTAATCGTAGATAGATTTCCAAAAAGCGACGCTTTCTGAATCTAATTTCTGTCCAATTGTCAAGGACTCAGATATATCGCCGTAGTTTTCTTTGTCATCATACTCCGGCCAAGATACGCCCAAGGAAGAATCTGGTGTAGGGTTCCTGAAATATAAATAATAGAAACTTAGATAATGATTGTATTAGACTTATAAAGATTATAACAATAAAAGATGATAAGGAGGCGGGTATAAAATTTACAGCTTCATTATTTATTGTGTATTTGGAAATACTATTATAAGACGAAATTTGATTTTACTCCTCATTATTATTACTGATTGATCAAGAAGTGTTATGCACTTACCCATATTTAACAAAGTTGGTGAACAAGGTGCAAGCCAATCTCACCATTTTATATTCCTTACTATTCTTTTCCATCTTAATATTAGCACGTTTGGAGTCAAACAAGTACATCAGGTCATCTAAATGCGAAGCTCCTGTAATTCCATACTTTTGTCCAGAAGCACCAAAAACATTTCGGTTGGAGTAACATGAAAATCTATAAAAATACTTCTTAGACTTTCCAACACCTCTTAGCAGAGTCAAGTATCTGTACACGTCATAAGTAAAGGTACATTCATTCGCATAAACAAGGAATTCCTTCATATTCTCAAAGGTCATTTGTTTTTTTCCAAAGTAATGTGCTCGAATCTTGTCTGAAATTTCTAGAATTTTCGAAGGTGGACATTCATTCAATATTTTCCTAGGTACTAACAATTCTGGGTACCTATTGTATTGTTTTAACAGACCTTTCTCCAAAAATGGTATGCCTACCAATACTTCCATGTTCGTACAACCAATCAAAACATCGACGTCGTTTATTTTGCCGCTTTTCAATACATCAAAAGGCGCTTCAGTTAAGAAATGGTCTTGACCAAAATTTTTTTCTGCAACAGGCGTAAAGTGAAACATCTTAAGATTATTGCACGTGATTTCCTCTGCAGCAAGTAAGCATGGATTAGGGCTGATTAATTTTTCAACTGGAAGCGATTGTAGAAATTCCAGAAGCTCATTTGGATCATCAGTTTCTAAGCCTAATTGTTTGCCGAGTACGAAGGCTCTTTTCCGGGGATGAAACGCCTGGCTCCAGTCACAAAACGGCACTCCACTCATCGGTATAGCTCTCTTAAAGAGACCTTTCGACATAGGAGAAAGAACATGTAATCCACACGACGAGCCCCCCGCGCTCTCTCCAAATATGGTCACATTATTCGGATCTCCGCCGAATTTGGCAATATTTTCTTGAACCCACTTTAAAGCGAGGACTTGATCCTTCATGCCGGCATTCCCAGGGACCTCTTCAGTGTCCAAGCATAAGAACCCCAGAGCATCTAGTCTGTAGTTGATTGTAACTAATACAACATTATGGGTCATTAGAAAGTCTGGACCATAGTAGTCGTCATCTCCTGAGCCACTTTTGAAGCCTCCTCCATGAATGAATACCATGACAGCCAATGGAGTTCCAGGGTTAAGGTTTGGCGAGTAAACGTTTAGGTATAAACAGTCTTCGCTTTCTGAGATCAACTCTTCGGTAAAAATATCTACTTGTGGACATTTAGGCCCGAATTTGGTGGCTTTTCTGATGCCATTCCATGCCAAGGGTGGTTGGGGTGCCTGAAATAAAATAATAAGCCCTTTAGTTACACATTTAAGAGTTTGTGGCTAACTTATCAATTAACCCAAACACACTATAACTGAATGGAGCTGCTGTAAAATTAATATTGATTAAAGTACAGATGATTACACATCAAGATCTGCGACATCTTATTCAGTAATAGGTGCTATGTTGAAAAATATAGCAACAAATAAACTAAAATTCTAGTGTCATACAAGAGAAACGATTGTGTTCAGCATTTTTTTCTGAATGGTGACACGGTATAATTAATTTGCGATACTTTTAAAAAGGTTCCAAAAATCCACGCAATAAATAAAACTGTAAACATTGTTTAAATTATTTGCCTGCTATTTTTATAAGGCTAAACATGAGATCATTGTAAAAACCGACATCCTCAACCATGTTTGAAGCAAATAAAGACATTCTTATTCTTATTGCTCGTAAGCAGTTGTATGTTCACTTCTTCGCGAACAAAATAAAAACCTGACACAATAGTATATTGTGTGATAAGAAGATATTAATTTATGAGTCTTATGTTCTTATCACTAAATACAAAATTATTTTTAATTTTACTATTACGCTGGTCAAGGCGACCCTTTACAAGGCTTGGGAGCCTACGGGTGACGAGCTATTGGACGTGGAGAGAGTCATTAATTATACACATATTTTCTACTTTGCCGAACATTTGCACGAGAACGGTTTGTCTAAAACATAATAATATGAATTTGGTCTTATTTAATGCAGGATTAAATGCCCTTAAACCGTCAGGAAGGCCACTTTTCGATAGAGTAAGTCCTTTACGCGGTATAACCGGAAAATCGAAAAAGCGCCCCTTTCGGGGGCCCCCACCACTTAAGCACAACTCCGTCGAAGTCGAAAACCTAGGAGAGTCTTTATGGGCAACTAATGAAGGCATTAAAGGACTAAAATCTTTAGTAGGAATTATTTCCGATTTAATTCATTTTTGTGTTTAATTCTACTGGCCTAGATAGTTGTGCCCGATTTTAAATTGTATGAAGAATCGGCCAAATCGAATCGGTGTAGTGTGCTCACTCCCATATACTCGTATGCCCATACTGATCAACTGCCCGACTAAACTATCGGCCGACGAAAAATCAACGGTGTGCGCCTACTCTAAGCTACCTATCTTGCTCAAACTGCAGAGTCACTTGATTTCATTTATCCGTCTTGCACGTATATTGCACGTTGATTTTAACATGGCAGGTATTTATCTTTACACTTAACAAGTACGCCACACAAACTAAAGTGACGTGCACTTGTAATCGGTATTTAGTAAAGGTAAAACCTGTCACGACACTAACACGCAAAGAAGCTGCGGCGCTTTTGATATAATCGTTTGTGCAGAATGCATGGTATAGGTTTCTTGATGCATTTTTACACTTTTGTATCTTAATACATACCGATTAGCACTGAAGACTTGATGAATATGCCATTTATATATATTTATAAAAAACATACACACCTTGAACCTCAGTTTCCCCAACGGAGGAGCAGCATACGGTATTCCCTTGAAGCTGAAGAACTTCCCTTCTCCAGTGGAAGTCTCCAGCTGCTCCCCCTCCAGCCAGCCCTGCTTTATTTCCACTTTCACCATCGCGACCAGAACCGAACTAACTCACGTGCGCACGCGCCTGTGTACACAGACTACTGGTAAACAGGCTGTTGACTTGGTGATTGGAACAAAAATGTTCGCCCGTATTCATAAACGAATCATAAACAAAAAAGATAAGCAGGTTAGCCGTTCATTTATTATTTAAATAAAGAGGAAAGATTTGTATGTTTGTAAATTTAATAGGTTTCGAAACTATTGGACCGATTTGAAAGCCTCTTTCACCCTATTTTTTCTGAAGACAATACCTACCTAACTTACAATAATTTTATCATGCTGATCTTTTCAATTCTTTTTTACATGGTAGGATTTTTATTGAATATTTTATAGTCTTACCATAGAATAAACAATTAGGTATTATAATACTTACTTAGGTACCTACCTTTTAAATTATGTATTTTTATCTTGTCTTGTCTTGTGTGGTGGGCAATAAAGTGTGTTCTATCTATCTTAGGGTAGTAGAAAAGTTGATCAAATTGAATTTTTTCGAGAATTTTTCATTATTTATGAACTGTTTCTTTTTAAATCATGTCCATTCCGTTTAATATAAAATTGACACAATAAACATTATGTTAAAAACCGATAAACTGTTTTCAGTTCCAGCGGATGTGAATGCAAAAAATGATTAATTAAACATTAAATTTATATTTCGAATAAGAAAGATAAGAAGATAAAGACAAGAACAAAAATTTAAGAGGATCGGTTGGTCATTATTGGTCAATGTGAACCTATACACATACACACTACAGTCCATGTTATTGAGCACACATACACAGTCCAAGCCAACGTCACAAAATATAATTTGTGCCAACGTTTTGTTGGCGGTAAGATAAATTACCTACTGTTACTTGTAAATTCAAATTAAGTTTGTTATGCTCCTGCTTGGATACTGTTTTGTACTACTGAAAAATATAAGTACACAAGTCTTACTATTATTTTTGTACCATTTATTACCACTTATTTTTTACCATTACCATTTATTTTTGTACGATGGACATTATTTAATACTTCTGATAAGTCCTATGATATGATATGATGCGATAAATTATACAAGTTCAATGCATTAGTTAGGTAGGTAATTCAGCTTTTACCCATTGAAGATCTCCTTGAATTACTACTTAATTATTAGATAAAATAATGGAGATTCATTAAAATTACTGTATCATAAAAATAATAAGAAATAACGGTTATGGGAATGCGCAAGAACAGCCCAACAAACTTTTCATAGCAAAGTTTTACTGTTGATAACTTTTGCTACGAAATTCTACTTTATTTATTGACTCTTATTTTTGAGTTTTATTCATTGATCTGCTTGATTTTTTTCTTTGTTAATTTTTATGTTTTAAATGAACTGAATTAATTAAAAGGACATGAGCTCCCCTGGCTTACCTGGAAGTCTTTAAATAGACTTCGGACAGGTTGGCCGTAGTAAGGACAATCTGGTCAGGTGGGGATTCTTGGATGGCTCAAACATGGAGTGCTGGTGATGTTTTGTTCCACATGATGTCGTGCCCTGAGTGCCCGAGCAACTGCACTCAAGAGGATTTAATGAATGCTGCTGACAACGCCACTCTTGTAGCGGAGTTTTGGGCTGACACTGTGTAAGTTTGTTGTCGACACGATAAGAAGAAGAAAAATGAATTAGAAAAACTGTTGTTGTAATAAGATATACCTTAAATTTATTTTATTTACATAGCCTTTGATCATTTAGCAACATTTTGAAATCTTCACATGGTCTAACTAAACGAATTGTAGCCCTGCATCGTCGTAGACAGACTTCCAAAACACCATACACTCAGCATCCAACTTCTGTCCAATTGTCAAGGTCTCGGATATATCGGCGTAGTACTCTTTGTCGTCATACTCCGGCCAAGATATCCCTAAGGAAGAATCTGGTGTAGGGTTCCTGAAATAAAATTTCCAGTTTTAGGAAACATTCAAAATAAATACAAGCTTTCCTGCTTAGTGCAGAGACCGAGAATTATATGTATATGTACAATGTGAATACTTTTTACTTTTTAAATATACCTACACAATATTGTCCGTCGCACGATCTGGTGAAGGTAGCGGAAAGCACCTGGATAACTTTATTTTAAGGAGTTTTTTTTTAAATATCACTTTATGATGATGATAACTTACCCATATTTGGCAAAGTTGGTAAACAAGGTGCATGCCAATCTCACCATTTTTCCTTCCTTACTATTCTTCTCCACCTTTAAATTAGGCTCTTATGCGTGAAACAAATACATCAAATCATCATCATGCGATGTTTGTTCAATCCCATACTTTTTTCCCATAACGCCTGTAATATTAAGCTCTGAGAAAGATGAAAATCTATAAAAATACTTTTTCGATTTCGCAACATCTTTGAGTAAAGTTAAATATCTATAGATGTCAATATTAAAGGCAATTTCACTAGCATAGACAAGGAACTCCTTCATAATCTCGATGGTTAGATATTTATTGCCAAAGTAGTATTCTCGGATCCTGTCTGAAAGTTCTAGGATTTTCCGAGGCGGACATTTATTCAATATTTCGGTCGGCACTAGTAATTCTGGATATCTGTTGTATTGTTGTAGAAGTCCTTGCTCAAAAAATAGTATAGCTATCAAAGCCTCCAGACTCGTGTAACCAATTAAAATGTCAACGTCGTTGATTTTGCCGCTTTTCAATATATCAAATGGCTCTTGTGTGATAAAATGGTCTTGACCAAAGTCTTTTTCCACGACAGGCGTGAAGAAATACATCTTAAGCCTGTTGCTTGTAATTTCCTCTGAAGCCATTAAGCAAGGACTGAGGCTAATTAACTTTTCAACTGGTAGCGATTGGAGATATTCTAGGAGTTCATTTGGATCATGAGTGTCTAAGCCTAATTGTTTACCAAGTAGAAACGCCCTTTTCCGGGCCTCAAACGCCTGGCTCCAGTCACAAAATGGCACCCCACTCATCGGTATAGCTCTCTTAAAGAGGCCTGTCGACATAGGAGAAAGAACATGTAATCCACACGACGAACCCCCCGCGCTCTGACCCCGGATCTCCGCCGAATTTGGCAATATTGTCTTGAACCCATTTTAAAGCGAGGACAGGTACATAGGTGGAAATGGATCGAGCGTAGAAGAGCGGAAGTGTCGGGCGCATTCTTGTTTATCCATAGAATTTGACGGTACGGAGAAGAGCGGAGCAGAACGGAGATGTGCGCACCGCTGTGCAGTGTTTCATAGATATAGGTGTACCAGAATCTCATGGCAAACAAAAATATTGGAAAAGTGTGTTTTTCATATGGCAATTGTCTATGGTTTAATTGTCACCTGTCAAAGAAAATTATGAAATCTGTCAGTCGCTGCAAAAATTTTGTAATCTCTTCTTGACTATTTGTTATTTTTGTGAAAAAGTCGTAAAAGCTCAAGCAAGTCATATTGTTTTCAATGTGAATTGTAAAATAAGGCATAATTCAAAGTCAATCTTTGATTCTAAACGCGCCGTCGAGTTGACAGTGAGTTGGACTGAAATGTTTAATACATTTAGCTTATTACCCAACTGCGTCAGAAGGAGGGTTATGTTTTTTTATTCTTACTTAATAGCTGCTTTATCGATGTTTTCAGGTATATCTCACAAATTGGTGCAGAGGAATGGTCAAAATGTTATGACCATGTAAAGATAATTGAAAAAGATTTTATCAAGCAAGATTGAATAATGGAGAAGTTTCCAATTTTTTTCTTTTAAATAAACTTGAAATAAATATAAGTAAAACTAATAATAATTGTGAAAGAATCATGAAAATATCTCTACAAATAAATAAGTTACAGGGCCCTAAAGTAGCGCATAACTATTCACGCCGTTTTGATCGGTGTATTCACGACAGTCATTCGGAATACAAACAGTAAATCACCCCTGGTCCAGTGCTGTTGACAGATCCATATTTGTTTAAATCTATTTCTATTTTTTTAAGGCACTCAAGATTCTTTCTTAGTAAAATTTTGCAACCTTTTTTTAAATATCCCAGACCTGGCCATTTATACAAAAAGAACGGCACCGCCTGTTCCAATTCCACGCCAAAATATGTAGGTAATTTAAATAATTAATTTCCCAGACATTTCTTGATCGATTTTAAAAAAAACTTCACCGTCTTTTTAGTTTTGGTATAATTATATGTTACGGTTAATGTGATAAATTGAAAATTATTAATAATAACCGGTTATTATGAATAATTCCCGACAGTCGCGGTGAAAGTGATAAATTAATCACATTTAACAGTGATTATTTAATAATTCAACCTTAGTACTAACAAATTTCATAAAAGAGAACAACATCTTGTGTACGTGCTCGTGTACAGCCAAACTTTTGAACGTTTTGATATCATATATTAGTATAATTTGGCATAATGAGTTTGGAATGTTTTTTGCATAATATTACTTTTCCATGATGCCTATAACATAATGTTTTGATTTAAAGTGAAAAATAGGTTAAGGTGCGGCGGGGGGGGCCCCTGGGCCACCCCTAAGCCGCCTATTTAGTTTTATACACATATAAATGACCTCATATTAATCACATTTACCAAATCATGCGGTAATTATTCATAATAACCGGCGATTATTCATAATTTTCACATTTATCACTTTGACCGTAACACAATTATATTTTAATCCCATTCAGAGAAATATAGTTTTTTTTAACATCAGGAAACTTCTCCATTGAAATGTTGGAAGAACAATTTATTTACAACACCTCTTTATCTTGATCATCTATTGAAGAACAAGAAATGCAAGTGGAGTTCTTAGAATCGTTTTCTAGTTCTGAATGAAGTGATAAGTTAAAAGTATGGTGCATAATAAAATTAGTTACTTTAAGTAATATACGATTTATTTATAACAACATTCTTCATACACATTCTTCATACACATACCTACCTAAAAGGTATATTCGTACTTCATGTTCATTAATATTAAAGTCATAAAAGTAAAAAATTAAATAGTATCAAGATCGTTTATTCCAATTTCCCCAGTATTGCTCTCAACAAAGTTTATGTTCCCTATTTGCCATGAGATTCTGGTACACCTATACCATTAAACTGACAGCTGACAGCTACCCATAGCTTACACATCTCCCCTCGTCTCCGCACCGCTCCGCTCTTCTCTGCTCGATCCATTTCCACTGATAGGTTATTCAAAAAACTGCTCTTCTCCGCTCCGCACTGCTCCGCCTTGGTGGAAAACGTGCTTTAGGATATATTTTCGCCTATGTATCTATCTGTTCAGTATTTAACCATTTAAATCAAAGTGATAATCACTTAATTATATCCTTATCATTAATTATATCACTTGTAACCCACTTGTTTACCAGCAGTCTGCATACTCGGGCGTGTGGTCCGGTTCTGGTCGCGATGGTGAAAGTGGAAGTAAAACAGGGCTGGCTGGAGGGGGAGGAGCTGAAGACTTGTACTGGAGAGGGGAAGTTCTTCAGCTTCAAGGGAATACCGTATGCTGTGCCACCTTTGGGGAAACTGAGGTTTAAGGTGTGTACGATGAAAATACACCAGTAAAAAATAGTATGCGCAGTTGCAAAAAGATCTGTCAATATCAATTTACATAATAATAATCCATTTGCTTCTTTACATAAACCAGTTAATTGAATAGGGTTTCCACAAAGAGAAGAGTATCAAAAATGTGTATGAAAAACAATCAAACGTTATTTCCACAACATCTCTTCGCCCCGAGTCTTCGGTTCAGAAATTAATCTGATACATGACATCTCTTTTCTCCGCTTTTTGGTGGAAACCAGGCCTCGTGTGGAAAATTATTTCGATAATTAAATCTTTGGTTCCTCAGTCCTGAGAGGAACTTTAAACCTAAATTTTCAATATCAATTAATTACAGCTGTTATTAGTAATTGTGTAAGTAGCACCGATATTTTTTCTGTGCACGTTACTCGTACTTGCAAAATTCTTATCTTATCGCGCTTATCACTTTAATATAATCGGGCTAATGTTTGATATCTTTTTTAAATTTTTGGGGATAGATTATTACTTAACATAGTAATATTATGCGCATTATTTGTACTCGTATGTCTTGAATTTCTGTTTTAGGCACCTCAACCTCTTCTGAAATGGGATGGTATTAGAAAAGCCACCAAATTCGGGCCTAATTGTCCACAAGTAGACATAGTTACTGATGAATTGATCTTAGGCAGTGAAGACTGCTTATACCTAAACGTTTACTCTCCAAACCTTAACCCTGAAATTCCATTGACTGTCATGGTATTCATTCATGGAGGAGGCTTTAAAAGTGGCTCAGGAGATGACGACTACTATGGTCCAGACTTTCTAATGGCCCACAATGTTGTCTTGGTTACAATCAACTACAGACTGGATGCTCTGGGATTCTTATGCTTGGACACTGAAGAGGTCCCTGGGAATGCCGGCATGAAGGATCAAGTCCTCGCTTTAAAGTGGGTTCAAGAAAATATTGCCAAATTCGGCGGAGATCCGAATAATGTGACCATATTCGGAGAGAGCGCAGGGGGTTCGTCGTGTGGATTACATATTCTTTCTCCTATGTCAAAAGGTCTCTTTAAGAGAGCTACACTGATGAGTGGGGTGCCGTTTTGTGACTGGAGCCTGGCGTTTGAGGCCCGGAAAAGGGCATTTGTACTTGGTAAACAATTAGGCTTAGAAACTCATGATCCAAATGAACTCCTGGAATATCTCCAATCGCTACCAGTTGAAAAGTTAATTAGCCTCAGTCCTTGCTTAATGGCTTCAGAGGAAATTACAAGCAACAGGCTTAAGATGTATTTCTTCACGCCTGTCGTGGAAAAATACTTTGGTCAAGACCATTTTATCACACAAGAGCCATTTGATATATTGAAAAGCGGCAAAATCAACGACGTTGACATTTTAATTGGTTACACGAGTCTGGAGGCTTTGATAGCTATACCATTCCTTGAGGACGAAGGCGAGGACTTCTAGAACAATACAACAGATATCCGGAATTACTAGTGCCGAGGGAAATATTGAATGAATGTCCGCCTCGGAAAATCCTAGAACTTTCAGACAGGATCCGGGAATACTACTTTGGTTATTCAAATTTATGTATGCGAGTCATTTCTACTAGTATCTTAATATGTAAGTCTAGATATTAGCACGTCACTACCTTGTTTAATATACCACGCAATCTTGTATACCCATTCTTATAAGATACACCAATACAAGAATGCATGGTAAATTCAGTGAACTGCTCCTGAATCGAATGTACCTACTACTACTATTTATATTTATTTATATTAACCGGCAGACAGTGGTGACTGAGTTTGTTGCGGCGCTTCTTCTCTGCACTTGCCAAATGTTGGTCTCGAAGCGCTGGTAGGGTAAAAAGATTATGAGACATGTAGAGGCTCCTTAAGAGCAAAATGACGATTTGTAAGAACTATTTATTAGTCTAAACAAATAAAGAAATTTTGACTTTGACTTTGACTTTGACATAAATATTTAACCACCGAGATTATGAAGGAGTTCCTTATCTATAAAAGTGAAATTGCCTTTAATGTTGACATCTATAGATATTTAACTCTATTCAAAGAAGTTGCGAAATCGAAAAAGTATTTTTATAGATTTTCATCTTTCTCCGAGCTTAATATTTTAGGCGTTTGGGGAAAGAAGTATGAAATTGAACAAACATCGCATGCAGATGACTTGATGTATTTGTTTCATGGAAAAGGGCCTAATATAAAGGTGGAAAAGAATAGTAAGGAAGAAAAAATGGTGAGATTGGCATGCACCTTGTTTACCAACTTTGCCAAATATAGGTAGGTAAGTTTTCTTTGATTGATAAAACGATACATTATGAAAAATAGTACCATTCGCATTTGACGTCATAAGACAATTTGTGTACTATTTCTTCTAAATGTTTTCTGAATCTGCCAATTTTTTTTCAGGAACCCTACACCAGATTCTTCCTTAGGAATATCTTGGCCGGAGTATGATGACAAAGAGTCCTACGCTGATATATCCGAGTCCTTGACAATTGGGCAGAAGTTAGATGCTCAGTGTATGGCGTTTTGGAAGTCTATCTACGACGACGCAGGGATGCAGTTCATTTAATCGTTCTTTCGTTCGTTCGTTTCAGCCGAAAGACGTCCACTGCTGGACAAAGGCCTCCCCCAAGGATTTCCACAAAGACCGGTCCTGCGCCGCTCGCATCCAGGCACCTCCCGCGACCTTCACCAGATCGTCGGTCCACCTAGTGGGAGACCTGCCCACGCTACGTCTTCTTCCTTCCTAATTCATTTATAAAGATTTCAAAATAACTAAAGAAAAATTTAACCGCCTAAGGCGGGAATTGAACCCAAGGCCTTTCGCTTGCCGGGCGACTGCCTAAAAATAAAATAATGTATTGCTTAATGAGTAATAAACTAAATAAAATAAATTGTATGTATTTTTTGTTAAACCCGTGTATGTAGTAAACAAGTGAAATATCTAAGACCCAAAATGATTATTATATGGATTTAAGTGATTGTCACTTTGATTTAAGAGCGTTTACGTCTAGCGTGGCATGTCAAGTTTAGGTAATTTCGATGCTAGTTTTATTCACACTAAAATAATTATGACTGTGTGCGTGTTCTCACGCTCTATAGTCAAACCAAAATACTTTGATCCACCATCGTAAAAGTGTGCCAGGCTGTCAAGTGACAGCTCAAGGAAACTATAAAATCTTCAAATCTTCCAACACCGACTCCATAATTATAAATAATGGTATACTATCCTAATCAATGATAAATAAGTAAATTCTTTATCAAATAGTAAATTATCAAAGGTTTTTTACTATTTTGAAAATATTTTATACAGCCTATATGTTCAGCAGAAAAAATTTTGAATTTTAATGGTGAGAGATTTTTTCAAATCGGTTCTATTCAAAACAAACTTTTCCTGTTTCTTTTTTTATCCGGAAAATGCCCACCAGCTGCGGGGACAGCTAGTGGGTTATGTGGGGTTCTTCCTACCAGAAGGTGGGCAGCTACACCCACTTAAAACCTGACTGTTTCTGCCATGATCCATATGATTTTCAAATACTCATAGAAAAAAAATTACAATGAATTATTTTAAATTTCAAAGTAAATATTTTAGATAAGATATTCTTCTATTATACTAAGCTATTTATGTGTTGAATAAAGGAAGAATATTGGTGAAAAAATCACTTTGATTTTTGTGTATTTCACGTTCTTTTAATTTGTGATTTCTTATTGTAAAATGCTTAAATCTAAAAATTTTCTCAGATAACTATTTGCCCAAGGATAGATCCTTGGGCATTGTTGCTATAGGATATATATGTTTGTTAAATCGTTTTCACAGTATTTTTATAAAAATTTCAGCTTGTAAACTGACGCTAAAGTGGAAATTTACAAAACCTGTGTTCTTAAATGCTAAACTAATCGCAATATTTTCTCAATTAACTATTTAGACGATGAAATTGCCTAACTATTTATGCCTATAACATGTTTGTAGTATTACTGGTTAATGATTGTAACGAGTTGAAAAAGTACTGTTTTTGCGCCAAACGGCGTAAACGCTCTTAAATTGTTAAATACTAAACAGAAAGGTACAATAAATATTATGGTACATAGGTGAAAGAAAATATATCTTTATGCCGAAACGGCCTCAGTCAGTACCTGTACCAAAAGCGACTCACTGATCTATCAACTTTTTAGACTTCAGAAGTGTAGCCACAATTGTAAAGAACCCATGCATTATTTACTTAGTACGAGGGGTTAACAGGACTATTATTTAGTATTTTGTATTGCACAAATTATTAATATTCTTAAAAAATATATGGAACCATACTTATTCCAGTTCTTGATAAATCCACCAATATAATTAAACAAAATTCATATCATATCTTCAGATGTTTATTAAAAATTAAATAAATTATTTTATGAGTAAAAAGTAATAGGTAATTAATGAAACTTTGCAACTAGGCTTATTTTATCTATACTCTATTATAATCTCTAATAACACCAATTAGAGTTAGTTTACTTTCACACAGCACGAAACGGACACAAAAGAAGCAGCATAATATCAATATAGGTGGTTTTCTCTTAGAAGCGAATTTTATCGACTACACAGTCAGTATTAGTCTCTTCACCTACAAGGTGGACCGACGACATCGTGAAGGTAGCAGGGAAGCGCTGGATGCAGGCCGCTACCAATCGATCAATGTGGAAAGCATTAGGGGAGGCCTATGTTCAGCAGTGGACGTTCTATGGCTGACATGATGATGATGATGATTAGTCTTTTCAAGGCAGTTCCACGCCACCTTCCTCGTATATGCTCGACCAGAAAGCATTGGCTCCAGCGTCAGGGTTGATGTCAACGCGCAGGGTGGAGTTAATGACCATGTACTGCTTCGAAGCATTGTCGTACTCTGGCCATGTCACGCCCAGGAAATCTTCTGGAGTCGGGTTTCTAAAAAAAATAAAAAGATATTAAAAGGAGAATCTATTTATCATCATCATTTTAACCACAGGATGTTTACTGCTGAACATAGGCCTCTCCCAATAGCTTCCGTCTGATCATCCACAAGGTGGACCGACCACCTCATAAAGGTAGCAGGAAGGCGCTGGATGAAGGCCGCTACCATTATTTATTATCTTTTTTATTTTCTTTGTTCTTATACTATGAGAAATCGATTGGTCAATTTTTATGAAAATTTAAATTTTATACAAAAACTTACCCATATTTTGCAAAGTTTGTAAATAATGTGACTGTCTGATTAATAAGTCTGTAAGCTTCTGATGATACGTCAACTGTTTGGTTGCCAAGTTGGATATCAAAGACATATCGCAAATCATCCGTATGTCCTACTCCAGTTATTCCATACAGTTCTCCGTCGGGCGTGTATTTGTTTATTTCTGATATGCAGAAGAATTTGTACAAGAACTTTTTATTCCCATTTGGCAGGTGCCTTAAAAACCTGTTTATGTTGTACACAAATATTTCTTCACTTTGGTAGTCAAGGAACTCCTTAACTGTTTCGTTATTGATATCCCTTTTACCAAAATATTGTTCGGATATTTTCGCTGCTAATGCATTCTTGTCAATATTTTTTCGCCCGTAATATGTAATTTCACGAGGTATCAATAATTCGCGCATATTGTTGTACCTTTCTAGTGAATTGCCGAGTCTACGTAACTGATACAAATATTCCAAACTGGTGTATCCTATCATCAGGTCTACTGGATTAATTTTTCCTTTTTTAAGACTCTCAGTCGCGGACTCCACTAAAAATCGTTTTTGCCCAAAGTTTTTTTCGGGAGCAGGTACGTACGGCGACATTTTCAGCCCAATAGCCCAGTTTTCTTCAACTGGCATGACCGTAGGAAACTTGTGAATTAATTTCAAAATGGGTTGCCTTTGCAGGAACTCCAACATTTCGTTTGGATCGGTCGTGTTGCTTCCCAACATGTTTCCAAGTGCAAAAGATCGTTTTGCGGTCTCGTAACTGATGGCCCACTCGCAAAATGTAACGCCGCTCATAGCTATAGCTCGTTTAAATAATCCTTTAGACATTGGTGACAGTAAATGATAAGTCACTGACGCTGACCCTGCGCTTTCTCCAAAAATGGTCACTTTGTCCAGATCACCACCGAATTTATGGATGTTGTCATGAACCCATTTTAACGCAAGGCTCTGATCTTTCATACCAGCATTACCCGGAACATCCTTCGTGTCCAGGTTAAGGAATCCCAAAGCATCGACCCTGTAGTTAATAGTTACCAAAACGACATTCTTTTCAACAATAAAATCTGGGCCGTATACATATGAGTTTCCTGATCCACTAACAAAGCCACCTCCATAAATGTAAAACATTACTGGGAGAGGTTTTTCTGGCTTCAAGTCTGGCGTGTAAACATTTAAATACAGACAATCTTCGCTACCAGGGACATACATATTGACTACTCTAGAAAATTGAGGGCAAAGTGAACCGTGTATTATTGCCTCTTTCACGCCTCTCCATGGTTTGATGGGTATGGGATCCTGTAAAGCAGAACACAAATATTTTTTTTAAATCAAGTTGGTTACTAATTACAAAACTAGATAAGTAGCCGTATTCAGTAACAAAACCTCAACGACAACAAATCGCTGAGTTGCGATCCTATCGAGTAATCGATCCTAAAGAGTTCTATCGAAATGACCCTTGTGAATGTGAATTTAGAACGTGAATTATGCCAATGTTTAGGTCAGGTCTTGCGGAAGGCAAATACTCGTATTCGTGGTAAATTCGACTCAAAATTTTAAAATAAATTTTTGACGTTAATTTTACTATATTTAGTACTAAATTTCGTTCGTTACCTTAAATCGCAAGTCTCCAACTGGTGCTTTAGCATAAGGAATCCCTTTGAAACTGTAGTAATTCTCCTAGACCAGTGGACAGCTTTTTTCGCACACCCAGCAATAGTCCCTCATTGACTCTAACGATAGCAAGTTGCACAAAATTGCCCTGAAAAAAAAAACAACAGCATAAATATAAAATACGACCAATTCAACAGCTTTGAAAGCTGGAAAATTGAATTTTGGTGCCTTTTGTAAATTTCCCAGTAGTCAATATTTTTCAATGTACGAGTACATATTAACAATTTATAATTAATTAATTATTAATTTATATCTTAATCAACACAAAAGTCATTGAAGAATTTAAACCTACTTACCGTCGCTAAAGTATAGAAAAATATCAGACTTAAGAACCTCATGGCGATTGATACACAATTTCACTGTCAAGTTCACTACAGTTTCCTTATTTATAATTTATTGGTGCAATCACTGACATTAACTGGTTCTCGATCAATGGCATTTATCCGCCATAATGATTTGCATAAACGTTTGATTGACTCGCCAAGATGCTGACTGTCTTGACTGTTTGAAGTTCTTTCTATTTATAATCAGATATCTTTATATTCGCAACTTAAATAATTATATTTGTAAAAAGGTTGATCGATCGTGACGTCATAGCGCGAAAACAAATTGATGTCCAAAGTTCAAAATCTAAAATTGGTTTCTTGTTAACGGCTACCGGCGTGGCCAGTTATTTAAATCATGGGAATATTCATGAAGTTTTGGCTAACTTGGCTACTTTACCAACGCTTCATCTTGAGGTAAACAATAAGAGTCATAAGCTCGCTCAAAATGATTCAGTTTTTGAGTAGTGTCAAAGTAATTATTTGTCTTTCAATCACAAAAATAATAATGCCAATTAGGTACCAGATTTTTTTTTAAATACGAGCTTGCGTAAAACTAGTAATTAAAACAATGGGTTAGTTGAAGTCAAGTCCAAAGGTTACTTACACAATGTCAGTATTTGTATCGGACCATAAGTGGGTTATTAGTGATTTCCAATTACTTCTGTACACAGTTACGATGACAGCACAAAATTAAAATTACACTGATCGAACAATGTTGAGCTATCTGTCATCATGTTCAAAGTCCAAAACACTTTAATTCGCGTTATTTTTCTAGAATCTCGATCTCATGAATAATCATTTCAAAATCGCGGAAGAATTTTTAATAACTTTAATTCTATAATTAAGGCAGCACTTACATTAAGTTTAAATACGTTGTAAATGTTGATTGTCTTCTAGTGTATGTCTTGTTGATTGTCCTATTAAATAAATAAATAATACTGCAACCACAGATAACTACTGGCCGTGAACTAGGTACTTCATGTTGGTATCTACTCAACGGAGGGCATCTTGGTATACCTACCTTATTTGAGATTATGGTTTATTTTCATTGTACATCAAAACATTAAGGCGATTTACAAACCTGTTATGTGTGTATAAAAAAAATCCATTATTCCTCGTAACTATGCACAATTAAGATGGCGATAATTGCTATTAATTGTAGAACTCCATCTTGTGATTCTTTGCGATTTCTGTGTATGCAACAGCGTTGCAACTATATTGTAATGAGGAAGGCATATTAACGATTCATCATCATCATCATTTCAGCCATAGGGCGTCCACTGCTGAACATAGGCCTCCCCCAATGATTGCCACAATGGCCGGTTAGTGGCGGCCTGCATCCAGCGCCTTCCCGCTACCTTTATTAACGACTAGCTTTCCGCCCGCGGCTTCGCCCGCGTGGAATTTTGTTTGTCACAGAAAAACTTTATCGCGCGCGTCCCTGTTTCAAAAATCGGGATAAAAACTATCCTATGTTCTTTCCCGGGACTCAAACTATCTCTATGCCAAATTTCATCAAAATCGGTTGCGAGGTTTAAGCGGGAAAGCGTAACAGACAGACAGACAGACAGACAGACAGACAGACAGAGTTACTTTCGCATTTATAATATTAGTTGGGATTAGTCTTTGTCAACCCTTTAGACTTCATCATCTACCTCACACGGAATAGAAGAACCATACTTTGGCATAATTTTTTTCGCATAAAAATATTTTAATGTAATTTTAAACATTTCATTGATTAATCAATTAATCTATATTGAACCTACTTTTAAATTGTTTAAGAGACACCGTTCAAATCATTTTAATAATACTTAAATAGACATTGACTCTTCTCTCGAGTCATTTTTGAGACATTGATGCATGAAAAGAAAAATAACTTCAGAATATAAAACGCAATCATATTGTTCAAATTGGAACAGTTGTTTTTAACAAGCGTTGCTAATCTTTTCTCGTCATAAATGTAGCATGAAATAATGTATAATTTTTTACATAATAAAAAGTTAAAATCTGCTATAAGTTATGTAGGTAGGTTATATTCAAAGTAAAATTCGTAGTCGGAAACGCAGTCGCGCAAGAATAAGCTTTTTAAATTTATCTGGGGGCACGGCAGTGCCCCCACCAAGTCGAGCAAAAAAGCGGCACGGCCGTACCATCCTTTTCTCGAAGCAATTCAGGCCATTTTCGACCGCCTGTAACTTCGTTGTGGATAAAACTAGAAGGCTGAATTTTCATTAGCTATGCAGGCATTGTAAAGACACGGTATATTTAAAATTTCATTCAATTTGAACCAGTAGTTTAAGAATTATAACGGGTCAAAGTTACTTAATTTTGTCACTCACTGACTCACTGACTGACTCACCGATCATCAAAATTCTAAGGCACTTCTAGCAGACCTAGAAGCTTCAAATTTGAAATATAAGTAGTGTTTGGTGTATGAATCAAGGAAAAACTAAAATATTTGGGGGCACGGTAGTGCAACCGCCAAGTCGAGTAAAATTTTTCAATTTCGGTCCAGTTTTCTAGATACATAACTGCTGTCTACAAAATACAAAAAGAAATGAGATCCCATCAAAAACAATACTTGTCAAAAAAACCAAGTCTCGCAACTCAGTTGTTCTACGGTAAAAAGTTGTGAGATCCATGTAATACCAAGTCCAGGCCAGGAAATCTTTAACGTTTTACATAAATATATTGACTTGGCCATCGCATGAAAACACGTGTAAATTAAATTATTTAGTGCGATGGCCAAGTCAATAATTTATGTAAAACGTTAAAGATTTCCTGGCCTGGACTTGGTATTACATGGATCTCACAACTTTTTACCGTAGAACAACTGAGTTGCGAGACTTGGTTTTTTTGACAAGTATTGTTTTTGATGAGTTTATTTTATTGCTTTAGGAATAACCCATTAAAAGACACTCAAAAAGATGTATAAAGTGTAATTTTTCATGTAGGTAAGAACATACTTGAATAAATAACTAAAAGTAAATATATCCTTATTACTATTATCCACAATAATATTGAAAATTATTATAAATTAGAACAACGATTTTACCTAAGTATTGATGCTATCGTGTTTGCATTTTTTTTTTATTGAGGATGAGATCGTAATCTTTTGGCAACTTCTATTAATATAAAATAATAAAAAATACTAAACATAATTATTGTCTAGTTCATCTAGATTCGCGAACTTGACTCGCCTTTTTAATCAATTTATTTGTCATTAAAAATAAAGAAAGCACGTGAAAAGTCGTTGTGGTAAATCCTTGGAGGGAGGGGACCTATGTCCAGCAGTGGACGACGGCTGAAATGGACAGAATAAAACCCAAATCCATTACGGCAGTTCGACACCACCTTCCTCGTATATGCCAGTCCAGAATTCGTTGACGTCAGCATCAGGAGCTCTGTCAACGCGCAGCGTGGAGTTGATGATCAGGTAGCCCTTGGAATCGTTGTCGTACTCGGGCCAGTCCACGCCGAGAGAATCGTCAGGAGTTGGATCCCTGAAAATGTAATTCCAATTAATTTTCTGTTTGTCTTCAAGATCTTCGTTCAGTTTTTTTATTTTTTTAATCTTGTAAAAATAATAAAAATGTGACTTATTATAAAAACACAAAATAAATTATGTTATATCAAATGTTTAACATCATAAATCGTGGAAAATTTAATTTTAAAATTGTTCGTTAAAAGCGTATCCATATTGTAACCGAATCTTGTCTTTAGGAGGTACTAATAAAACATGATAGTAAAATAAGAACATACCCATATTTAGCAAAGTTCGTGAACAACGTAACTGTTTCATTAATGAGTCTGAAGATTTTCGACGATAGGGCTACTGGGCCACCAGGAGCAATTATGGAGTCAAATATATACAACAAATCATCTGTATGCGACAATCCAGTTATTCCCAAAGGCTCCCCTACTGAAGAAAACCGATTCCTATCTGACAATGTATAGAATTTGTAAAGATACGTCTTAATTTTAGTAGACAGATAATATTTCAAAAACCTATTGATGTTATAACCAAATATTTCATCGCTGTGATAATAAAGAAATTCTTCCAATGTCTCATTATTTATGGCTTTATTTCCAAAATATTGTTTCGAAATTTTAGCAGCTAAATCATTTGGATCTGTATCATTCTTTCCATACAGCAAAATTTCACGAGGAACTAATAATTGGCGCATATTGTTGTATTTTTCGAGTGAGTTATTGAGTTTTGTTAACATGTATAGATATTCCAAACTAGTGTACCCAATCAGCAAGTCTACTGCAGAGACATTTCCTCTTTTAAGCGTCTCAGTTGGTGGTTCGACTAAAAAGCGTTCTTGCCCGAAGTCTTTTTCTGGAGCAGGTTGGAACGCCGTCATTTTTAGTCCAATATATTGCCATTCATTTTCTTCTGGTATTACAATAGGCGTCTTATTGATAATATCATACGCTTCCTGTTCTTGCAGGAATTTTAACATTTCGTCGGGATCAGTTGTTTTGCTTCCCAATAACTTACCGAGAGCGAATGACCGCTCTGTTAGTTTATACGTGATAGCCCATTCGCAAAATGGTACTCCGCTCATGGCTATGGCTCTTTTGAACAATCCTTTGGACATCGGTGACAGCATGTGATACGTCACCGACGCTGACCCCGCACTCTCTCCAATAAGAGTCACTTCATTAGGATCGCCGCCGAATTTGTGGATGTTATCGTGAACCCATTTCAACGCCAAGTTCTGGTCTTTCATTCCAGCATTGCCTGGAACATCCTTCGTATCTAGCTTGAGAAATCCCAAAGCATCCAGCCTGTAGTTGATTGTGACTAAAACTACTTTCTTATCAATTATAAAATCTGGGCCGTATACAAGTGAGTTTCCTGATCCACTCCTGAATGCACCTCCATGAATGAAAAACATCACTGGCAGAGGTTTCTCTGGCGTCATGTCTGGTGTGTACACATTCAAAAAGAGACAGTTCTCGCTGCCTGGTAAATAGATGTTTAGTAATTTGTTAAATTGGATACAGATAGGGCCGTGTATAAGTGCTTCTCTTATTCCTGTCCATGGCTTACGAGGTATAGGGTCCTGAAATTCGACATAAAAAAGAAATACAACATGCACATATTTGTACTGATGAAATAAAGATTTATTAAAGAGTTTATACTAGAAATATTAGACTTTTTTATTGCTCTTTACATACCTAACTCATTACTTTTTTGCCCTTAAAGCGCAAAACAAACATTACGCAAGTTTCTGAGTATAATTCCCACAAAAAACTGACTATCGATTGACGAATATAAATATAGGATCAGCAACGAGTTATCTATTATTTCTAGCGAAGAATTTGGCGAAATGATCGAAACTTTCCGTTGTTATGGCGCCTATTTAACTGTACAAGACTAACGCCCGTATTCACAAACGATACTTGCTTAAGTGGAGCAGCAAATCGAATGCACAGCGTTGAATAAAGGCCTATTCAGACCTAAGCGGTATTCGCTACCGTCTGCGGCAGATAAAACGCTCTAGCCGCGGTACTTGATACTAAATACCTGAGCGAAACCCGCGTGGCATGTACTTCTACCCACAGCGGCAGCGAATATCGCTCAGGTTTGAATAGGTCCAGTGTGCGTCCACGCGCACTGTGAGACCTCATAGTAATGTTTGTGAATACGGGCGTTAGAAGCAGAAGTCTGAGTAGCTTGGTCATTTAAAATTAAAGATAAAAAGTGATGTTTGAATAGCAACTGCCCGAATCAGGGGTGATAGCACAAATGAAAATAAACAAGAAAAATATTAATAAATATTTAATTATAACTTTATCTTTAGTAAAATAACCTTGTTCAAATCAAACGTATCCTAAAACTTTCACGCGGCGCTTGTTACCGACCGTACCACA